TATTAGAATAATTAAATCATTAGATTGTCTTTAAAACGAATAAATAAATATATGAATCAGCGATAGAATACAAAATACTACAATCACAAATTCTTAGATATTTTAATGCAATTTAAATAAAGTATTGAAATATAAATTAAGAAAAAAATTATGGAAAAGACGCGAAATATTTCTATCATATTTTGTCATGTTTTTCCTCTCGCTTTCTTAATTTCTTTTATTACAATAATTAATTGCTGTTGCTACAGATTTTTATAATGTTCAATATTAATAATGTATTAATGATGAATTTTAATGTAATTTAAGTGCAAATTCGAGAATATTACTATTTATTGATATTATGCTAAGAATGTGCGCGGGAAATTCTTCTCAAAGAAAACAACGTTCGTATTGTTCGTTATATGAAGCTGCATTTGCCTGAACGTAGCTATCAAAATGTGCTGCGAAAACACGCAGTTAAATAGACACGTGAATGCGTGTGCGAGGCAATCTAACGCTTTGCCGTCGGAGAAAGTGCGACGACCCTTAAGGTAAAGGTCAAAGACGACGGGAACGAGACGGCGCGAAGACGAGGAAGTGCGCGCAGATTGGAGGACACTCGCATACCGCGGTCGGGCCGAAACAGCATCGGCATTTCAAGGCACTTTCGCCGCAAGGACAAGTCACACGTACGAGGCGAGCGGCGTGTAGAAGCGCGCTGCGAAGTTCCGCAAAGAAACTCGGATCGCGCGCGGACCACCATTATCCGAACAGTAAAAAGACCATAAAACTCAGCTGAACTTTGGAACGCCGGAGTTTGTTTCAGAAAATACACAATCCTTTGTAACATACGTCGACACATTCGACACATTTGTCGAACATACGTCCGGCAGCTGTGAGAAGCGGTAGCTTGGTGCCATTTTGAAAATTTGATAAGATAAGAAAGAAATACGGGAATTTGGAGAGAAAATAAGATTCATCAATAAATTTGTCATGTGTTTCTGCTTGTGAACGATTGTCGTGAGTGCTTGCGAGTCCATAATATGGACGGAAGATCCACGCGGGTCTCCGTGGATGGCAACTTCATGGATGGCCGTCGCGGAATACAGACGTCCGTGGACGACCATGAGTGACCGTGGAGGCAACTCCGCCGTATCTATAGGCTCTACGGAACCGACGAGTCGGAAGATCCCCTACCTCCGTCGCGGAGATACCGGTTAATGTGGTACACTGACCTACTCTCTCGCCAGCGCGGCACCAGTGAGAAATACCCCACCACGCTGTTGTTCCGCCGTCCTTCTCCCGCAGCTGGCAACTTTTTCTCTCTCTCTCTCTCTCTCTCTCTCTCTCTCTCTCTCTCTCTCTCTCTCTCTCTCTCTTCTCTCTCTCTCTCTCTCTCTCTCTCTCTCTCTGTCTCTTTTTCTTCCTCGCTCGTCTTTCTTCACTCTTGTCTCTACGGCATTCCCTTTCCGCTTCTATTTCTTGTCGTATCTTTCTGATGGTCTTTCTTTATCAATTGACTTTGCAAAATTATATCAATCGGAAGAAATGGTGCCGGTGGAATAAATCGGCATATAATTGGTCCTCGGTTTTACTCTTTGACTCATTGAAGACTTTTCGTGAAATTTTCTATATATAACGCTGTAGAGTGTGTACATAAATTTTAAACATTTTAATCTTATCCTTTCTCTTTTTTCCTGCTTTTTTAAAGAGAAGCCATCTTATAAAAGTGTATTGGAATATGAAATATTACTTGATTCAATTGTGCAGCAATTATTTCTCTTCGTTTCTGCGTCCACGTGTTCTTTATTTTTTCTCCTCATCGAATATTCTCTTCACATAAATGCATTTTCGGTATATTCATAATTATTAAAAAAGTAAAATAAAAATAAATGCTGAAATAAGTGTGTGCATGAATAAGATAATCTATTGAATGTTTTCTACATGACGATATGATTTTCATTCATTTGATTACATGACAAATGTAGAATAATGGAAGAGCAATGCAAGAAGAAAAGTGCACGAAAATGAAAAAAAAAAACTGCAAAAAATATGAAGACTCTAATGTTTTGTTAATGAATGTAAAAATTAACTGAATAATTTGAGATCAAATTATCAAAATTTCACATGAATACATGATTATCTCGTAATCTCACGGCCGAAACATTGATTGACAAACATGGATTTCTCATCATAATCGAGCCATTTTTGTCGTACAAAGGCGATCAAAATCCCGATTCAAAATTGAGTTACACGAAGAAGAAGAGTCATTGCATAAAAAGCACGCGCCACTAGAAATCGGCGACCTGACACTGAGACTGTCGTCGAGCCAATCGCGAATTGGCATCGAGGAGCAACGAACCGCCTTGCGAGATGTCTACAACCTCGAGCAACAAGTCGAGCCCCCACTAGCGAACCGCCGAGGAAGTTATTCCGGAGAAATTTCACCGCAAACTTAGCAGCCTCCGTCCTCATCGCCTTGCCATAATTTACATTGTCGTCATTACCGTCTTTTTCGTCGCTGATACCTGAATATCTAAATTAACTCAAGTCCAAGTAAGCTTGCAAAATACCAATCACTTGGAAGTATATCGTGGACGTATCGAAACGTATAAAAAAATTGCTCCGTTCTAGCGGAAACTTGAATGATTCTTAAATGCATAAGATTCAGAGATAAAAATAATAGCAAACCTGTAAATATAATATTGTGTTACAGCATGGAATATGTGTGTGTGTGTGTGTGTGTGTGTGTGTGTGTGTGTGTGTGTGTGCCTCGTAAAATTTATGTGAAAATTTCTTTCTCGATTGAAATATTCAGATAGAGAAGACCTACTCTCAAAACAGGCAAAATTTGACAATCCACGTTTACATTTTTTTCGTTTTTTTTTAAATATAAATTTAGCATGGAATAATTTTCAACGATTTTCTATGTAACTCTAGCAAAATTGTAGGTATATTTTTTTTGCCTTATTTGTCGGCAAACGTATTTACCTTTTTTACAAATACTTAATTTTGTAAGTGATTTATTTTTTTGATGTTATTTATATACGAAGACATTTTCAACAGATTTATTGCTTTAGTGTCGCCGGTAGTGCGACAAACGAGAATTTACAATTACAGATTTATGCCCAAAACAGCAGGTAGCACAAACTTCGTAGAGAATAAACGGTAAAAGACTAAAGGACCAAAACTTTTCTTTGTTCAGCAAAATTTGTACCTTGACAGACTAACCCTGTTTATGGCATCATTTCCGTGATCCGTTATTAACCGTTGGGTTATACTGTTGCAAGATTTGTACACAAACACAATAGCCTTATAAGCTAAGTCAAGAATTTCCGACTGTTTCATTTTCACAAACTTTTCTAGAACTTTACAGAATGTCGTCTGTTTAAAAATTTTTACATTTAAAAAAAATTTCTGAATTTTCTTTCAACATTTTTGTCGAATCCAACTTGATCGTTAGCTAAATATTCGAATATCAGGTAACAATGTGATGCGGAATGAATAAGAAGGCTAATACGTGTATGTATACTTTTTTCAATTTTTACTCAGTCAATTTTTTCATTTCTAGATTTATATTATATAAATGCTGGATAGCCACTTATATAATATAAAAGAATAAGTACATTTTATACTAAAACAAATAAGAAACACAATTTTCTTTATAAGTAAAGAATAATTTTTTATCTGAATAAAAAAATTACTATCAATTTATAAGAAATAATCGGCATAAATGAATGAGTTCATCTTCTTGCGTTCAACACGAACAGTTCCACGCAAGCCTCAGTTCTTAGATTTCTAGAGTCTTTGACTTCTTACTGGGTCGCAGGATCAGCGGTAGCACTCTCTAAAGAATCTCTTCGGGGTTTCCGGAGCTTCCAAATACGTTCAGATATGAACTTGACCTTGGTCTCACGTGATTTTCGATATCGCGATGCCAGGCTTTGATCGATCGACTTACTGTCGCAAAATTATTACTCGTGCGCACAAATAGACGACTACTTATCGTGAGTGGCGAACGAAGTTCTATCGTTAGAAAGCGTGGTAATTCGAGTGACGTATGTGGCACAAGAAGTACTAGACGACAACCGATTCGTAAAATTGTAGAACTTCATCGCTGTCGAAGCTTATTGATATTGTATTGATTTCTTATACTGAAATATTTCTACATTATTATGTACAGTCTCCGTAAAAATCCTGCTTTCCCCCTTCCTTTCGAAAATGTAACGCGAACGGATACAAATTGCATCACTGATTTACTTTCTGTGACATCAAATAGATAATCTTGATTAGAAATCAAATAAAGTGATTTCTAATGAATATAATAATGGACAAATATAAAATATATTTACTTTATTTTATATTTTTTTATATTTATATTTTATATTTTTATATATTATACAAATTCATATTTAAAAAGTTAACAAAGTAAAATTTAAAAATATTATATTGGGCAGATCAGAAAGTTTTTCCTTTTTTTTCGACAAGAATGAAAGACAAAAATCCAAAGAAACTTTCTGATTATCTTAATAGGTATTGATCTTCTTATTTATTTTATTTTAAAACGTTGTGAATTTTAAATTTTGATCGCTTATCTTTTTTCCCTTATAAAATAAATCTCATTTCCAAATCAATCGCTATTTGCTTTTCATATAGCATTTAACAGAAAAATAACTAGAAATTAAAATAAAAATACATCGCATTCAAATTTACGCATAACACATTCGTTCTGCTGCTCTATTGAATAAAAAAAAACATTCCATCTGAAAGGATAGCAAATGTCTTTTTACTTTCATTGTAGACTGTGCTTTTATATTTTGTTGAAGAAAATATTTCTTTTATTCTCTCTCTACGCCGCCGTACATGTCGCATGTAGCACACATAAATTAACATGCATTGAAAGAAAATGATGAAAATCAAACGGTTTGACAAGGAACGGCTTTTCGCGGATAATTATCATGCAGCGGGACAAAACACAAATGAGTTTAATAACAGTGCTCTGATGCAATTTGCCGACTTACATATAAGTGTTGTATCCAGAGCAGTATCGATGACGACTTCAGGAGCTTCTCGTATAAATCTATCCAGGAAATGTTGCACTGTATCACTCGACAGATCGCCTTCCCCCGATGACCAATTCAAGATTTTATCACTTTTTACCGACGCGCGTGATTCATCTTTTCACAGCGGCGAGTACCGGGCAAGCGACGCGCCGACTGCGAAATCAACCGATAGGACAATCGTTCATCGAAACAATCGTACGAGTGCGAAACAGATAACATGTACGATCGCGTGTTTTCATCAAAATCCATCCGCGCGAATTAAGACAACAGAAGATTAATTTGATTCCGTCCCCTTTCTTTCACGCCTTTCCGTCTCTCCGTGCGCGGGCAGGTGGAGCAGAGATCGCCGCGGATCAGGAAAAAGAATTCCCGCGTAATAAAGTCTTTGATCTAGCCCAAGCTCTTCTCCTCGACCTCTGGTGTCCTCGAGTTTCGCACATCAGTATTCCGATCGGCTTCATGAGCCAACGATACGCAAAGCTCCGTCTTGCTCTCGGAATGATCCTGCTGTCTTCTATTTTTGTAGTAATCTTCTTGCCTTGTTTCTTTCTTTCTACTTGACTTTTCCAGAAAAGCGAAGGCTTTCGGAAAGCTCGGCAAGTACCTCTCGAAATGTTCTGCTCCGAAATGATCTACCTTCGTCGTCTTTTTTTTTTTCTTGCACTTCCGCGTTCTGTCAGAAAAAACTGTCAAAACACTTCCGATGATATACTCCACGCCGTTAAATCATCAATGAAATTACCGATCTATCATCCCGATCGAACTCCTCAGCACATGCACTCCGTCCGTCTCCCCAAAATCGACCGATCGATCGCGCGCCCCGCAATAGCAATGCCCACTATTCACCAGGTGAATTCCGAAGAAGGTCGTGCAGAAGTGTTCCTCGCGCCGGACGCGGCGATATATCGCGACGCTCGATACAGATCGATCGAGCGCGACGCGGTGTTTATTCCAGGCGTCCTTTCGCTAAAAGGCAGGACATATCCCGCGCTGTGTCTCACACGAAGGTACGACGAAGCTCGGCTTCGAAGTAGCTCGCCGCAAGTAAAATCGATATCCGAAGTAATATCGAAGAAACTAACTGTTTGCCATACCAGCCCTCACTGCGGCGGGCCTCACTGTGACAGGGATACCGTGAGGCCTCGTTGCTGCACGATGGACCCCCCACTCATCGGACTCCTCCTCCCGCTCCTTTCGTACTGTACCACCAACGTTCATTCGCTATTGCTCTTCTTCCGCTACCTGCCGATATGCTTTCCACTAACTAGACGGTACCGCACTTCCCCGTTACTCCCTCCGTTACAACCCTATTCGTTCCACCTCCACGACACTGTAAAATGCAGGGCCCTCTGCGCCAACGAGGAACCTTGAGAAACGATGGATCTTGCAGAGGGGACTATTTTCTGCGAAGCAACCCCAACCTAACCTAACCTAATCCACGTTTGCCGACGCGTTGTTTTGAAGCCACGCGATCGCGCAGACATTTATTACAATTAGGAATTGAATTCTGTTTATGTTTATGACAACTGATTGTGCGAATACACGCTGCTTTTCATCAAATTCGACACGGACTTCAAATGTTCGAGAGAGTTCGATAATCAATGTTACGACGATGTCATGAATGCAATCAGGTTCAGGGTAGACACTTTGAACATCTGCAAACCGTCTGCAAGTGTACTTGAAACAATAAATGAATAAATCGTTCCTCAGAGTTTGTCGCAGAGTTTGTCTGAATCGTCCTGTATAAGAACCACGTTACAACACTTGGGTGGTCTTTCTACCGCCATTAGTCGTTTGTTTTTGGTACTTTTCCATTCTTGAAATTCTTACAAACACTATTCATAAAAATCTAAAATTTGTTACAACATTTTATAAATTTGTTTAATACCTATAATCTTGATATTAGATTTTGGTATTAAAAAAACACACCGCACACAGTATTTTATTAATTATATGTATAAATAATAAATGTAACTATTATTATTTATAAATTTTATTTTATAAAAGCAAACTTATTAATATTGATTAATTTAATTTTAAATTTATTAAAAGTTTGTAATAATTAAAGGTTTATGCAAAAATACGTAGTAATATACATAATTATGAACGATATTTAAAAATTTTAACATTTTGCATTATTTTGACCGCTCGACTGATGGTGCTTTGTTGTAGTGCGGGAACGGAATTATTGGGTCGAAAAAATAAGGACAGCTCGCGATGACGATTCGAGCGAATCGATTCGCTTTCGACGGACGTTCCTCGTCGTTCTAAACGTTATTCTGCGTTAATATTAATGACAGCAGACCACGCAACAAGATTTGGAAAAGAAAAAAATTTGGAATTTGCGCATTTCTCCCGAAACATCGTAAATTTACGTAGCCCCGTAAATTCATATTGACCAACGAGGAATTCATTCTTCTTGCGGCGCGTTCGCGTTTTGAGTTTAATTGGCAGAAACGAGATTTCGAAACGTTGCACAGTTACCTTCACTAATAACGCGCATGATGAGAGAGAGGGCAGTTAACGAAGAAAAAAAAAATATGAAGAAGTGAACACATAACGGCGAATACGCATCTAGATAAGTAAAAAGATGGATTGCTTTTCATACATAATTAATGCCAATCTCTTACATATATTACAAATTGTTCTTAATTTCTTTTGGCATGAAAATTTTAACTGACAAAAGAGCGTGTCTAATACGGAAAATATTGTGTATATGCTTTAATATGATAAACTTTTTCTACACGTTGTATAAAATTTCCTTTTTGTTCTAATAAAATTTCTATTTCACGCACTTTCATATATTATCATACATATAGTTGAGCTTCCTTATCTCTTCCTTCTTCACTCTCGCAGTTTCTTATTCTTCTTCGACCCTACGTAACGCTAAATTTAATTTTCCTCTTGTTTTCTGATTACATTTTCCACACACGCGTAGAATTAAATCATCGCAGAGCACGTGGAGCACCTCTTGATTTTAACTCGCTTCTCACACTAAACGAATTACACGCTGAACGATTTCTTTATTTTACGTCAAAAATTTTCGAGCTAATTCGACATGTGTCGTTTTTTTACATCGACTTCGGCGAATCTTAAAAATGCATTACAGTTTTAGCCAAGGCTGTGGAAGCGCGCGTTTGCACGCGCGCACGCGATTGAGGCCACCGTGGATCCGTGGAGCGGGCAGTACGTTTTCCTGGGGACTCAAGAGGCCCCGAGTAAAGGGATGTTCGTACGCTTTCAGCACATACTTCGTCATGGTCTCTTATCGCAGCCATTGAATGCGCCGTGAACGTGGATCACTCGCGCCGAAGCGCGTTGTGTATAATGCATACAACTATATTCTTTTCGCCGTCTGCTCGCTCGCCACTACTACTTTACGAGCAACGCTCGCCAATACTTTAAGCTGGCTTTAGAACACATCGCACATCCTTCGTTATTTCATTGCGTTATATTTCGCATAGCATCTCCGTTCATCATCAGTTTCCGTCACTTATCATCAATGCTTTCCGTGCCAGTTTGATTATTTATTGTAAGTTTGTTCTTTATTACCTCTTTTTCTAAATTTTTTATATATTACAGAATCGATAAAGAAAGAATCTTTCAAATATGTTGTTTTATACAAAATGAGACACCTGCAGAAATATTTGCACACATAAAATTATGTGAGTCGATAAATCATAATAGTTTCTGCAAAAGTAAAAAGTTTTATTTTAACATGTAACAATATGATAAAGTATTGTTTTCAATATATTTTTTAAAATTATTATCTAGCAAAAATCACAAAATCAAATCAATTCATTTAATAATTCTTATGCTATTTATGTATGTTCTTTGGAAATAATTGTTTTATTCCCGACTGAAAATATTTTGGAATATAAAAACCCCTTGCACAATAGGCAAAACTTTTATCGTTAGCCAACTTGTGTCAGCACAGTGCCCCGTAAATGTGGGTTCGAAGTAAAATACTGCGCTTTAAAGGGATAATATAAAAAAAAAGAAATACTGCTATTTTTGTCACAGTTAAACTGAAACGAATTTTAAAGAAAGAATTCGGTTTATTCATAGAATTTTTTTCCCAAGACCTTTTTGCAAAGATCTGCAATGACCGTATTTGATGCTGGTCCAATTTTCAGCATCTGCACCGCAAGACATCCTTGTCAGTTTGGCAAAATGTATTAGTACAATAAAGCTATAAATCGGACCTTTTATGTAAATAGCTAAGTAAAATTATTGGCAAAGAGCCGCAAATTGTTTACGTTATTCATGTAAAATTAATTCAAAAAGGTTTTTATTAATTTACTTTTAAAAAAATAAAATTTTAATTTTGATTAATAAACATGAAGCACACAAAAATCTTTCAATCCACGATCTAGAAATATTCGGTTAAAAAATTTAAATTTTTATGTTGATAGAGTTTAAACAAATTCAGAAATGACCCGAAGCATCCACAACCGCGTTGAAAGATTTTGTGAAAATTTCACGAAAGGACTAATTAAAAAGACTACATTAGCAAGTTCGTTAAGTCTGTTATAATATTGCAACGTGGGCGAGCAGCGGAATAGCGGGTGCGCTCACTGCATATTGCAATCATTTGCGTCACGCTAATTGTTGTATAACTTTCGATTTAGGCGTCGATGCCGCCGCCCTCCGATCACGGCGGAAGCGTCGGCGCGGCCGCTCTTTTGTTTTTTTTCTTGGCGCGATATAAAACGATGTTACACATATACGCGTAGAATGGCGGTCGAGGGGGGCTCTCCTTTCCAACGATTCGAAGGAACGAGGCCCCACTTCTAGTGAAACAATCGGTTACACTTTCGTTGCTGCGACTAGTGGTACCACTCAACCACCTTCTTCCTACGTGAGAATCCGCGATGGCAGACAGACATCGCGCCACACGTCATTATACTTAACCTGTTATAAAAGTTAATTGTCCTACCTTGTCTGCGAATAAGAATTATATATATCAATGGCTGCAATTAAAAATGAAATTAAATCTGTAACTATGTGTTACATAGGCTACCTCACTTCATTTAATCTATTTAAAAAGGCGATTCGAGTCTAGAGAGTTGAAAACAGGGCGTTCTTTGCAAATTTTGAAATGTTTTTGAAAGTGTTGTTTTGGAAATAATAATTTTTTAAGAATAGCGCTGTAGTAATATGAAGCTAACAGGCGACAGCTTGCGGCCGGCGCACGAGACTGCGCCACGTGCACGTTGCATTCTGCACGACCTCACTTTCGTACGAGACTTCGAGCAGACAACGTGTATGCATTAAGTGAGGATCAAATTTTACGTTCCGGTTAAGTATAAAAAAACAATTATATTTTTCTTTCTGTATGTTTAAAGACGCAAATTTTCTTGTTTTTGAACTGTTTGCGTGTACAGTGAATATATATAGTTTTATATACCAAGAAAATTGTTTCTTTTATTTGTCACATGTTCGTTTGTCTCACATTCGATTCCATAAGTGAAATTTAACAGAAAAAATGAAATGAGATATAAACATGAGATTCAAAGCATTGTATTTATTTATATTTTTAGAATTTTAAACAATTTTGAAAAAAGATTCAAGATTTAAAGTTTACACTTTAATTTCCTTTTTGAAATGTTTTCCACGATAATTTGTTTCTGAATTACAGATTTTACAAAAAAAGTTGTTTATTTTATAACGTTTTTTTCAAAACGGTATAACTTTATCAAAAAAGATCAAAGAAAAATTTTTAAAATGGATTTGTTAGAAAATAAATAAGCTTAAAAACGCATACATTTTTATACCCGGCAGTCGACTCATTTGAACAAGGCAATAATTTAAAAAAAAAATTTTACATATACATATATAAATTTCCAAAAAATTAAAAAAATTTTAAATTTATAAAAAAATAATTTAATGTTAACTTATTCGGTAAAATACATAAAACGGCTACTTTTTTATATTTCTATGCTAAGAAAAAATTTTTTGGAAATTTATATATGTATATGTAAAATTTTTTTTTAAAACTATTGCGTTGTTTAAATGAGTCGACTGCCGGGTACAAAAATGTATGCGTTTTTAAGCTCATTTATTTTCTAACAAATCTATTTTAAAAATTTTTCTTCAACCTTTTTTGATAAAGTTATACCGTTTTGAAAAAAACGTTATAAAATAAACAATTTTTTTTGTAAAATCTGTAATTCAAAAACAAATTATCCTGGAAAACATTTCAAAAAAAAATTAAAATGTAAACTTTAAATCTTGAATCTTTTTTATTTCTCCATGATAAGATAATGTGCAAAGAATGTATGCTTTTTTTAAAATGGGAAAAATTTACCGATTATTATA